GTGAAAAATGGATGAGGGCTTGGGGGTGCCATGCCCTCGGGGACACAGGAGAGGAGGCAAGATAAGCAGAAGAGCAGTTTGAATTGGGAAACTTTGGGAACATTCAAGTCGACACTTGGGTGCTCAGGTTTGGAATTTAGGGAAGGGCATAGCAACACAGAGGAAGCTGGGAAAGGTTGGATTGGGATGAGCTCCTCCAGAGGGTGGCCATGAGGGAGGGGAGCCTTTGGCCAAACACACAGCTGTGGGAGCACCTGCAGCTGAGAGGGAAGAGGAGGGAGGAACCCAGGAGAGATCATAACAGGAACCTGCAGAGTTCCTATTAGCCAAGGAGACATGGTGCTCAGGAGATGAAGGAGCAACAGAAGGGATATACAATGAAGTCAGTGGCTAGAAATTAGAAGGAAAATGACAAATGTCAGATGGTGTCACTTATAAGTGGACTATAGGAAAAGCAAACAAAGAAAAAGTCAATACTAGCAAGCAGACCATAGAACTGAAGCATACAACAAAGAAGGCAGAGTGAAGAGGGTCAAAACAATGGAGGGATGAACACAGGGAATATGGTGAGGGTTCATGGGTGATATAGAGCACTATGGTGACTACTACAATGTCAGAAAAAATTGAATTAAAAAACAAAAGAAGTTAGTGGTTAGTATTTGAGTAGAGTGGGAAGTAGAAGGGGTACACCTGGTATCTGCATCAGGGAAGATAGTCAGGACGGCAGCAAGAGTGTGACAGTGAGGTCCAGGGAGGGTCATGTTAGGTAAGTGGAGGCATACTTCTGAAGGAGAAGGAGTCCCTTCAGGAGCCTCATGCATTTACCACCTGGCTCATGAAGCACCTGAGGATGCAGCCCTGACTTTGGAATGTATATTAGTTTTTTCTGTTGCCTGTCCACATCTCCCCTCCCTGCAGCCTTTGCCTGGCTAAAGGGCAAAATGTTGCTGAGCTGGGCTATGAACTCATGTCTGACTGCAAAGGGGCAGATTAACAACCCAGATATACCTGAGGCCTTCCTGTTCTCCCTCTGTCCCTCCAGGTGTGTGACCCTAGGTGGCTGCTTCTCACTTGTGTGTAAAATAGGGTCAATAATAGCACTGTCTCCTTTCTTGTGACTATTGGGACATGTTGTCCCAAACATAGTGGCTTAGAACCACATACATGTTTGTCTTTCAGTGTTTATGGGTCAGGAGTCCAGACTCAGCTTAGCTGGGTCTTCAGTTTCAAGGGGTGTTACACCCCCACCATCACCTTGCTAGTCAGTTCTCTCTGAAGATTAACTCGGGAGGGATTAGCTTCCAAACACATGTGATTGGCAGAATTGAGATCTTGTGACCCGTTGGCAAGAGTCCATTATAACACAGGCCCCTCTGGCATAACTGCTGGCTTCATCGAAGTCAGCAAGAAAGAGTCTGCTAGAATATAGCAATCACATTCTCCTAAAGTTTAATCACAAAGTAGTTAACTTTGGTCATAGTCCATCAGTTAGAAGCATGCTGCTAGGTCAGACCATACTGAGGACAAGGATTATACAGGAGGTGACACTGGGAAGGTGGGTATCGCAGGACCTGTCTCGGAGCTCAACTGCCACACTGTCCTAGCCACCTGTCCCCACCCCAGGTGACAGAGGTCAGCTCTGCGGGGAGTCCAGCTGCCCAGGCCACAGTCCCCGTCACCATCAGGATCGTGGACCTCAATAACCATCCACCTACATTTTATGGAGAAAGTGGACCCCAGAACCGATTTGAGTTGTCCATGTATGAGCACCCACCCCAGGGGGAGATCCTGCGGGGCCTCAAGATCACAGTCAATGACTCAGACCAGGTATGTGAGCCCGCTCCCATCTTTCACTGCATATGTGACAGGGTCCTCACAGGTCACAAAATTAATGAAACAAGGGTGTAGCCAAGAGGGAGAGCTGAGAGAGCAGCTAACAGAAGACTGTCTGCTTGTCACGGTCAATGGCAAGTTGAAAAAGGCAGTCCCAGGAAGACACGTCTATATCCTGCCCCTGCCTGTCACTCTCCGTGCCCAGCACAGGATGAGGCCTCATGTGCTGGTTACCTTGCTTAGCCCTCACAGCCCGCTAAGTCTTTCTGACTCGTGATTACTTCATTTTCAGGAAAAGTAATCTCACCTCCCAGGGTTAAGGAGATGTGAAGGGCTCCTCACTGGCATGAACATGAAATGAGTTTCTATTTTCATTTCTCATCCCTGTTTCCTCCCTCCAAACTCTAATGCCCAGGGAGCCAATGCCAAATTCAACTTACGGCTGGTGGGACCTGGAGGCATCTTCCGAGTGGTGCCACAGACAGTCCTGAATGAAGCCCAGGTGACCATTATTGTGGAGAACTCAGCTGCCATTGACTTTGAAAAGTTCAAAGTGTTCACCTTCAAGGTAGGGAATACTGTGTATTGCTCTGAATAGGAGTGCCACTCACAGGAAATCACAGCAGCCCCTGGGTTCATGCTGAGGAGTCTCTTGTCACCTTTGTCCTATTGACCCTACTTTTCCCCTCTGATTTCTCCTGCCTTCCTGCTGAGCTGGAGAGCAAGAGGGAGAAGAAAAGTGAGAGAACAAGATCCTTTCCTATTTGTTACACATGTGGGAAACACCCCCCATTTCTATACCTATAACTTAGGTTGTAAAGGGGTCCAAAGGGAAACTACCAAATATAACAAGGTATGGTAATACTGATAGATTGAAGGAAAAAATTTCATCATCAAGCAAGATGTTTGTTCATATGCATTTGGCATTTGTAATCTGTTCTGATATGACTAGCAGAAGATAAAAAAATACTTCCTTTGTAACTGAGATTATAAACATACATAAATACTATATATTAGACATAGTACTGATTTATCAATTAAAAGGAAAAAATACTGATTTTTTAAATTGTTTTAATTATTTATAATTAAACACATATAAATCTCTTAGCCAGCCTCCCACTTAAAAGTGAAATTCCAGAAGCAGGGGCCTCCCTGGTGGTGAAGCAATTAAATGCTATCAAGCCATTGCCAGCCACTGTGGCATGAGCTCCCTCCCCTAGCCCCCAGCTAAGGAGCTGACCCACATGGCACAGCAGACCTCTCCTGTCTTGTCTTTTGCTCCCCTCAGCAGTGTATCTCAGTAGATCTGCCTGTTCCGCTCCCCACTCTGTCTCTGGTGAGTAAATCTTCTCACCCCTCCCACAAACCTCTGGCCTACACCCAAATATGCATAAATACATAAAAATAATTTAAAAAAAGAAAAGCAAGAAATTCCAGGAGCATTCTGTGAAATCAGAACAGAGCCTGGGTGCCTTCTCTATCACCAGCATTATTTAAACTTTTCCTGGGATGACAAGATTCCTCAAGAAAGAGAAGCCACAAGAGGTGCAGACATTAGAAAAGAATTAGAAAAGAATATTTGTCATTGTGATTATTTGCTTATAAAATCAAAGAGAAATGATTGAAAAGCTATTAGAAACTTAACAGCATTGCTTGTACCATGAATGACAAAGTTAATACCTAAAATCCAGTCATGTTCCTATATAGGAAAAACAGCAATGAGAAAACATAATGGACTAAAAGATTTTCTTTTACAACAACTAATGACTGCAATTCCCAGGAATTACATAACAAGGAATATGACATGTAAAAATGAAGCATACTTTTAAAAAAAAAAAGCCAATTCTCATTAAGTTATGAAAACTGCAGGGCCACCTCAGCTAAGTCTTACCTAGAACTTCCTTTGGGGAGGTGGTAAGGAATATGGCACAATTCATTCTTATATGGAAAAATGGGGAAGTTCAAAAAAAAAAAACACTATGAGATAGCAACCTGCCCTAACAAATATTAAATTAAAATTAAATATTATTCAAAAACTGGAACTAAAAAGGAATATGACAATTAGTAGAACCGAGGAAGCTGGCCCCCATATAAATGAGATCTGTAAGAAAGCAGACATGTCCACTGGTGAGTGGGGTGATGACGTATGCTTTAGTTTCTCCTCACTGGGGACGGCAGGCAAGGCTCCTTGGCAGCTGAGACCTGGAGGTAAGGCAGGAGGGCGCTGGACCGATCGGTCTGTGGGATGACTCTCAGCAGGAAGACTCACCCGGATAAGTCTCATTTTCTTTCCTCTCCCAGCTCCTGGCCATTGAAGTGAGCACCCCGGAGAAGTTCAGCTCCACCGCGGATGTTGTGATCCAGCTCCTGGACACCAATGACAATGTGCCCAAGTTCACCTCTCACTACTACATAGCCAGGATCCCTGAGAATGCCCCAGGGGGCTCCAATGTGGTGTCTGTCACAGTGGGTTGTGGACTAGCCCTGGGGCTGGGATGGGACGGGGACCTCCACTGAACGAGGCCTGATAAGTCAGACCAACCAACGGGCAGTTTGAATAGCAAAGCCCACGCTCTAGTTAGTGTGTCCTTGGACAAGTGACCCGCCCTCTCTTACCTCAGCTTCTTGTTCTACTTGGTAGGGAAAGCATACCTCACAGAAGTATAGCTGTGTGGCAGCTGTGGCGTGGGACTCATCTCTTTTCTTTCCTCTATTGCTCTTTTGCTTCCTTCTGTAGTTGAGAACTCCTGGGTGGAAGACTAGAATTTTGGAGCAGGTCCCCTAGTTTCTTCCTAGCCTTAAATCCCTTCTTTCTGCTGCAGAAGGCAGTCATCAGACACATGAGCTGCCAAATCTGTTCTGCCAAAGAAGCAGGTGCCACTGTGTGCTTTCTCTCTTCCAGGCTGTGGATCCAGACACAGGTCCCTGGGGCGAAGTCAGATACTCCATCTATGGGTCAGGGGCAGACCTGTGAGTAGAACAGAATCCTGAATAGGGCCTTGGGCAAGGGATTTGGAGGACAAGGATGGAGAAGGTCTGTGTTAGGCCTGGAAAGGAGAAGAACTGAGTCAGAGAAGCAAGCACTGGGCAAGAGTAGAGGGAAGCGGAAGAGAGCTTGCAGTATGGGTGTGGGGACACATGTCTAGGTACTGGGAGCCTGAAAGCAGAAGGGCCAATGTCATTGCTGGAAGTCAAGGCCCATTATGGCCCCAGGAAGCAGGTAAGCAGTGCTGGGCTAGGAACAGGACAAGACTATGGTAGGGAGAGGGCAAGGCTGGACTCGGGATACATGCGGTATTGTTAGATGCGTGAGGAGGTGGGTGGACCTGGCTCCCTCAGTCAGACTGCAAGGCTGGGGAGAAGAGCTCATGGAGCCTGCCACATAATGCATTACTGCCACTTTCCAGAGTCAGCTCATGACCACAGGCATGTGTGTCTGTGTGTCTGTGTCTGTATGCCTGTGTATACACCCCTGTAATCTTTGTGCCCACAGCTTCCTAATTCAGCCGTCCACTGGGATCATCTCCACTCAGCCCTGGGCCAGCCTGGATGCTGAAGACACAGCCAGGTACAACTTCTACGTGAAGGCAGAGGACATGGACGGCAGGTACAGCCTGGCCGAGGTGTATGTCACTCTGTTGGATGTCAATGACCACTACCCCCAGTTTGGCCAGAGCATCCAGGAGAAGACAATGGTGCTGGGGACCCCAGTAAAAATTGAGGTAGGCTTCAAAAGCACTGCAGCATAAGAATTTATTTAAAAATAAGATTTATTAGATTTCCATTATAGGCAAGAGACTTTAAGATCTGTAATGTCCCCCTCTCCACTCCAACCAAGAAATAACTTCTGAGAAAGAAAATAATGTTGCCACTTTGCAAAACAAAACAAAAAAAAAATTGAAATCTGGACAGATTGAGTGTTTGGCTTACATTCATTCAAATAGTTCATATGCCTGTTTTCAAAGCAATGCTTTCCCACTGTACTGTCTAGCCTTCTGAAGGTAGAAAGCATGAACTCTAAAGCCCAACACACTTGACTTTGAATCCCAGCTCCTCTTATCTATCCATAGCCAAATCACTTAGTTTCCAAGCTGTGTGTGTGTGTGTGTGTGTGTGTTTTTATTAATATCTACTTCTGAGGCTTGTCTTAGACTAGAATATTGTAACACAATATAGGATCTGGCATAGGCCCGAGCCACAGAGTGGTGCATATCTCAATTCCTTTCCCAATTCCAGTTCACTCAAAATGGAATTAGGACCATTTCATCAACCCAGCCAGTCCCGTATGACATACTGCTTAACCAGAGTCCACATCATGCTGCAAACCCCACTGTCTGCCCCGCCCTGTGCACAGGCCACTGACCAGGATGCAGAGGAGCCCAACAACTTAGTGGACTATTCCATCACCCATGCGGAGCCAGCCAATGTATTTGACATCGATGCACACACAGGGGAGATCCGGCTCAAGAACTTCATCCGCTCCCTGGACGCCCTGCACAACATCACGCCCAGTGGGAACCACATGTGGTCCCTGGAGGTGCAGGCCAAGGACCGCGGCTCTCCATCCTTCAGCACCACAGCCTTACTCAAGATTGACATCATAGACACAGAGGTGGGTATGAAGCCTGGGTCAGGAAGAGGCCCAAAGGGTCAATGTAGCACAAGCAAAGGGAGAAAGACCGGCTCCAGCCTTCCTCCAAAGGGCACCCAAGCTGGCAAAGCCTGCCAGTGCTGTCCAACATACACGCTTTGCAATCAGGTCAAGATCCTCGTTTCAATACCTGCTGTGTTTGTTAGTTCTCCAGTCCCTTACCTATAAAATTGAGAATATAGATAAGGAACTGAAGAACTAGCAATTGAGAATAAGGCTGCGGTGGTCTTCATATGGCTGTTGACAGGCAGAAGTAAGAGCATTATGTGTAGTTCTCAGCTCAGTTTCTGACAGAAACTCATCACTTAAGGGGTTCTCAATGCATTAGGGTAGATACCAGTCCCCCTCCCCTGATTCAAACACACGTTAATCACTAACCCTCTCAAGAGCAGAGTCCAGCAATGCAAGAGTGCAAAGAGGTTGTTTGCACCACACTCTCTCTGCATGCACTTTTCTGGAGAGCTGCAAGCATTGTATTCTCTTTAAGTATATTTGTTCAGGTATGAAGCCCAAAATCCTCATTAGATTCTCAGGGAACACCTGACACCAGAAAAATCTAAAGATGATGAGCCTTAAGAGAGCTCACACCCCCTCCTCTGTCCTGGGGGACCCAGGCAGGAGCAGCTAATTGCAGCTTTCTTCTAGATGATGTCCAGAGACCCCATGGCCGCCTTCCTGATGCAGACCAAGGACAACCCCATGAAGGCCGTAGGAGTGCTGGCTGGCATCGTGACCACCATCGTGGCCATCACTGTCCTCATCTCCACTGCCACCTTCTGGCGCAATAAGAAGTCCAACAAAGTCCTGCCCATACGGCGTGTGCTCCGCAAGCGGCCTAGCCCTGCACCTCGAGCCATCCGCATTGAGTGGCTCAAGTTCAGAAGGACCAAGGCTGCTGCCAAGTTTGTGCTCAGAGATGATCCTCCCAGTGAGAACTGTAACAACAGTGTGGGAAGCTCACCGCCCCCCACAGCCCCACCTCTCCCTCCATCACCCAAAATGGTACCCAACATAGGTGCAGCCCACTGGACTGTGCCTACAGTCTCTGGCTCACTCACCCCTCAGCATGCCCAGCCAAAACCCGAGGCCTTGGGAAGCCCTGTCCAGTCAGCACTGGTCTTTGAGCTAAGGCAAAAGTTTGAGAAGAAGAATGCAGAAAACTCAGCTTACTTCTAGAGTATACCTCATGGCCCACTCCAAAAGTATGTCTTTTCCCATCCCAATTATCTGCTCCCCCTTTGTCTGATCCTTAGGGTCACTCCTATTTTGTTTAATGGAACAATACCCATACCTAAGGCTCTGAATAGCACCTAAGCAAGGGACATTTCTGGCTATGGATGCAATTGGCAAATACTTGCCCATCACTCAGATTCTTGACCCAATTGTGATACTACTCATTCTGCAGAGACTGATAACTAAGGAGCCAAATCTATAGGTCTTCTCTCCAAATCTATAGGCCTCACAATCCCTGGGGCCTCAGCATCCTTAGTCGAAAATCAGGGCCTTAACCACAAAGCTGAGAAGAACCTAAGTCCTGAGAACAGGCAAAGAAAAGGAGATTCTGGCTAAGACTGAGGTTGGGAGTCAATGAAACTTGCAGTCCATAGGAGAACATATGCACCAGGAGAGGTCAAAGGTGCACTAAAATGTTATGCTGATGCTGGGACTGTACCCAGAAGGCACAGGGAAGCACCTCCCCTTTTGTTCTGCCCAGGATGGATCCCCCACATGGCTCTGGCCAGCCATGGCCAGAAACATCCAGAACTGGGCAGCACATTCAGCTTATCTCCATTTTGCCAAGATGATGGAAGTGAATTCCCAAGAAAGGAGTGATCACCCAAGCACATGGTGGGGTGGTAGCAAGGACATGGTCAGAGGTCCAGCTTCTCAGCATTTTCATCTTGCTGGGTGCACTCGATCAGTTTGTGACATCTCACCCAGAAGAGAAGACAAGCCAAGCTCTATCAAAGACATTCACTCTGACTTTAAAGACACTTGCTCTAAGGAAATCCAGAGGTGTACAAAGAGAACAACTTTTGCATTTTGTTCCACTAATTAATAACCCTTCTAGAGTATGTCAGGTTTTATTTAAACAGATTATAAACACAAGTGATTTCTGGGTCTGTTTTGAGCCAGGGTACAAGCTCTGATGTAGGTTTCTACAGACCCAATCCAGAGAGTATTAAGAGGCAGGTTCTAAGAAGCCAGGATCCCAGACTGAAGTACCAGGTACTCTGCAGCCCATGTCTCAGGAGCACCTGCACCAGATCTTATCTGCTCTCCACAGGGAATACAGCACCCTTAGAATTTGCATGCAATCAGCCTCTTTTGTAAATGGTAAATAAAATGTGTTCAATGAAGGCCAAGCTGAAATCCTCCTGTTCCTGCTTGTTTTAGTGTGAGCTGACTCCTTAAGACCAGCCTGATGGCCAAGTTCAGCCTGCCTCCTGGTTCCGTTAGTCAGTTCATTCCCTGCCCCAGAGCTGACTTGGTGCAAGATTGCAAAAATTTTATCTGACATTCTGTGTTTGTTTACCTGAATGTGGCCCATCATGGGCCTGGACTAAGCTCTTCCTCTGAGCAGGACCAGCCCATGCAACTCAACCCAGGAATTGGGAGGGCTGGTATAGGCATGAAAGCCTGGGATGCAGCGTTATCTCTGAGATGGGGGTCAGGAAAGCCTATCCCTGAAAACAGGCTTGCATCCCACCCCTGGTTAGAGTACCTGACAAACCCAGACATTTGAATCAAGACAGAGCTATCTTGAAAGCTTGCCTGGGAAGAATGGGAAAGTTTAGTTGCCAGCATGAACCATATTGAAAAAGAGGAGAACACTGCAAATCCACGGGCTTAGCAAATGTGGCCCCTCAGGAAAAGAACCCAACCTGTGAAGTGGGCTGAAACAAGATCCACCGCATCAGAGCACAGTGGGGCTGGGAAACTGGCTACTCAGTCACACTGGGCCCAACCTAGACTACAAGCTACTACAGTTGGTTAGTCTTCAAGGCAAAGAAGTGTGAAATGGTGACAGATTGGGCTGGTTTTCCCACTCCCAGGCCCTAAAAATGGCGCTTTCAAACCACAGGCAGTCAACAGGTGTGACTGAGGAACACTGTGTGCTTGATCCTGTGGCTCAGATTTTCCTGTTAGAGGGTATAATGTAGTCTGACAACCCTGAGTCTGAGTTCTGAGTGTTCCTTTGACCAGAGCCTTCCTGGGCTCTGATGGGCAGCTGTCTAGGCTGTCCACTAGATTTCCACTGATTCTCCTGGGAACAGTCTCATTTCCCTAATTCCTGCAGAAGTACATGCTCAAATGCTGACTGTAGATGCAATGGCGTCTGCCCCTCTCTCAGTCAGTCAGTTAATTAAATGATTAACAGGGTCATCACTGATATTAATTAGCATTGATTAATCAATAATAATACTGCTTAATTTGTTACACACCACATATAATCCAACAATGAATTGGGTAGGTCAAGCACCATTGAACATCAGTTCTGTGAAGAATCTTGTCTCCTGTTCACTATATGAAATTGGCTACCTGCAACACAATAGAAACCCAACATATATTTGTTTAAAAAATGGATCCAGGCCCTCCCTGGTGGCGCAGCAGGTTAAAGCACAGCATTAAGAATCTAAAGCCACTTCAGCATGAGTTCGATCCCCACCCCAGATGTGATCCACATAGGGTGGCAGACCTCTCCTGTCTCGCCCACTGCTCCCCGCACCAGTGTACTTCGTCGATCTGCCTGTTCTGCTCCCCACCATGCCTGGTGAATCCTCTTACCACCCCTGCACCTCTGGCCTGTACCCCAGTTCTGTATGCATAAATAAATCTTTTTTAAAAAATGGATCCAGTCATGTTAAGCTGCCACAGAAAGTTTGTTTAGGGACCAGATGCTCGCGCCACTATATACCCTGGCCTGGGATCTTCAGTCACTATCTCCTCTCTTCTCATCAGTATCTCTGTGTCTCAGGTCTTCTTTGCAGACAGCAGTGTGGTCTCTGAAGGAACTGTCCCTATTCGGAGAACAGCATGGGGACATCTGGGAATTTTTCTGCTCTGAAGACAGCAACACAAACTCCGCTTTCAGGTGCAGGCTGCCCAGGTGTGGATGGCCATTGGCACTGCGAGCAATACAGCACACAGGACCACTGTGATGTGCAGGAGGGGCAGGACCCACTGAGGTCCTGACCCATCACAGAGACCTACACCACCCCGGGTGTGGGGGCTGACTTCCCAGGCTGAGACATACCTCATTTTGTGCTCGGCAGGAGGTCATCCACAATGTATGCGTTGATTCAGGGCCGATGTGAGCTATCTCCTTCCTGAGGGCTCCATTCTAAGCAATGTAGAAGGTGAACCACTTTTCCTAGGGGTATCAATCGCTGCAAACCACTCCAGCGGGACCCTGCACCCTCTGCTTAATGACTCACAGGTCAAGGAAGGCATTCCCCTTTGAGGGAATGGGGTCCATGCTAGACATAGAGGGAGATGGCAAAGGTGCTACTGCCAATGGAGCTGGAAGCCACACAGGGGTAAGAGCCTCTGTCTACAAGGTGGGAAGCTGGTATGACCAGCCCTGACAGAGCAGCATCTTCCACAGGGGATGAGATTACCTTAGGTAGAGAGAGCAAACAACTCAAAGATAGATATTTCTCTGACAGAGAGCCGGAAGGTGTCCAGAAGTGTCCGTTCTTTATTAAAATGTGATGTGACCATTTATTAAGCAGATAGTTCCAGATCTTTGCCTCCCAGCTATCCTATAAAGTAGATACCCAATTTTAAAATTAAGATGTAGAAAACTGGGTCCCCCCTGGTGGCGCAGTGGGTTAAAGCACAGCACTAAGAAGCTAAAGCCTGCCCTGGCGGTGACCACATGGCATGGCAGACCTCTCCTGACCGGCCTGCTGCTCTCCTCAGCAGTGTACTTTGTCGATCTGCCTGTTCTGCTCCCCACTCTGTCTCTGGTGAATCCTCTCACCACCCCTGCACGTCTGGCTTGTACCCCAGTTCTGTATGCAAAAATAAATAAATCTTAAAAGAAGAAGAAGTAGTAGAAAACTGGAGCAATTAAGCAACTTTCTCATAGAGAGAGTTCTTCAGAGGCAACAATTGATCTGAAACCCTCTTCTGTCCATAAAAACCATGCTCTTTCAACTTCACCAGGAGCTCCCAGTAAACTGCCTTCACTAGTATCACTTTCCAAAGTGCTATGCTGAACCTAATGCCATGGATTTTTGAGAGAGCTATCAAAACTGTGTGATTGTGCAATATTGTGAACCTCAGAAATTGTTCTCTTACCCTCCAGAAGTGGAGAGGCTCAGAGCCTGGAGCCAAATGCCTAGATCCTATCATTTACTAGGTATATGGTTCTGGACACAATTCTTAAATTATCTTGGCTTCAACTTCCTCATCAATAAAATGTTATAACAGTGTTATTCCATAAGTAAGGGCTTATTAAGTGTTATTTTTATTATTAATGAGAGACTTAATAGGATGCCAAATACAATGATTATAGAGCAATATGGGATGCATTTCACTGTTTTCAAAGAGGCTGCAATAATTCCATATTTCTCCTTCATTGGCAATTAACCTCAAGTCAAAAAGATGTGATTAAAATTACAGGAAAATGTCAAATTTCAGTCAATAGGTTTTTTTCTTTAATCATCCAGAGGTTTGCCTTTACGGGTAACGAATAACTGGGTGACCATCTGCATTCCCCAAATTTTACTCAGATATTCCTACTTACTTACTAGACAGACCATGGGAAAAGATGCAGAAATTCAAAAAAGGCTTTTCCAGCTGCAACTCTAGGGAAATCATCCCTGGTCATGTCCCAACATACAGGGTGGCATTAAAGGTGATTCCAGCTGAGGTATAAAGTCAGAGCCCAAAGCTTCAGGAAGTGAGAGGCAGGTTTGAATACAAATTACAGGGCCCATGGAAGTCGTGTCCTTACCTTGGGCCCTTGTATTATGACTTCAAGTCAATAAGATCTGATCAGCATAGAAATGGGATGTGTAAAATTCAGTCAATAGCTGGGACTTCCTAACCTTGCCTCATCCTAGCTGAAGGGTAAGGTAGTACTTATTAAAACTGCATATAATCAGGCCCTACCCTGGGCTCACTGAATCCAAATTTCCAGGACAGGATCCTAGGATTCTTATTCCAAACAAGCACCTATGTAAGTCTGCTCAGGCAGGGTTAGAAAATAAGGCAGATAATCTCTAGTCAGAAATAAGACATAGATAATTTCTAGTCAGAAATAAGACATAGATAATTTCTAATCAGAAATCTTATGAATTTGAAATATAAAACATGTTTTTTGCATCTAAAATGGCTCTTAAAGAATATATTTGTTCAATAAAATTCTATAATACTTATATAATAACAGTCATCCTAAGATCTATATTTACCTATCCTGTAGAGATCTGTAAAGGAGCATTTAAAATATGCCTGTAGTGGAATGCAACCTTAGATTATTTTGTGTTCTGTTGAGCATAATTTAGGTCTGTTCCAATCTTCATCCCTTCATCATTAATCCAGTTTTAAAACTCTCTATTGAGGATAGGATTGTTACAAATGTGTCCATTACCCCAGATATGTTGAGAGAGTGCATGTGGCTTGACATCAAATTCCCTTTACCTACTCAAAGAATATACACATGTAATGGTTGGTGAGGGGCTGGCCTGTGCCAAGAACCACAGGGTCACATTCTGCCCCACCTGAATGGTGACACTGATTCTAGGGGTTGAGATCTCTGGCTTCACACAAACAGTGAGCTTAGTTTGATGAAAAACTGCCCTCCCTTGAAAAAGAGGGCCTCTTCACATTAGGTAGGAATTTACCAGGATGACCTGGAGACTAATGGATTTGACAGACTGCACAAGTCCCCTGAGGTGACAGTCATATTGCCAGGGATTGCCATGCAGTACTATTACCATGCTAGATTGGATGTCTCCACTTCCCTCTCCCCTCTCCTCCACACTAGGCTACTGGTGTTTCTGGTAGAGCAGTCAGTTCAAGAAGACACTCCCGGATACAACTGTAAGCCTATTGGAGGATAGGTCAAGGTAGATCAGGTTGACTGAGAACTGAAGAGCCAGCTCAGGGAGTAGTACATCAATACTGTTGTGTTTGAGAACCAAGATGCTTGGTGTGGGACGCTGTCCGCGGTACTGAATGGAGCTTGTAGCCCTCCAGTCTCTGCTCTCTCAGCTCTGACAGGTGCTTCAGGGCTCCTTGGTGGATCACAGGAACATTACTATATTTGAGCCAGAGGTATTGCAATGTGCTTGTGTTGGTGAAAGAACCTTGGGGAAGTTCAAATAGAGGTGAACTTTCAATTCTCCCTTCCCTGAACTCTTCAGGAAGTTTCCCTGTGATCCTTTCCAGACATAGACATACATTGCAGAACCCTGTACAAGAAAACAGAAGAACTTTTAGATGGACATCAGAATCATATCAATTAGGAAAATATTACTATTCATTTGATATAAAAGATCCATTTTGGTAAAAGTGCCCAGTTTACTAAAGTTCAGCACTAACTAGAATCAGTCTTAGAGAGACTTTGCTGATTATCTGCTAAATCTAGGCCTACTTCTATTCTGTATCATCCCCAAAGAAAACCCATCCTATCAACCTCTGGCATCTTGCCAGCATTGTGCACCTGCCAAAGTTCTTCTAACCAAGATCAGAAAATTCACTTTTTGTCTAGATCTTGAGTTCATAAAACAAACCTAAAGCAGATGTCCAATCAAATCTCATAGTGCTTTCCCTCAATGTCTTACAAAATGATCTGAGAAATAGACAGGTAGTGTTATTCTGATCACTGTGGTTCAGGGATTTAACCAGAATCCATCTAAAGCTATCAGTCTCAGGTGACTCTTATATCCTTGAACCACTCTCTAAAAGCAAATGTATGGTGGAAGTATGTCTGTAATGCATTAGGCTAGCTACTTCTGCCATTTGGATGACCATAATCAGAAAGCATCATGGTGTGAGGACCATATTCTTTTTTTTTTGTTTTGTTTTTGTTTTTTTATTTTTTTTTAAAGATTTATTTATTTGTGCATACAGAACTGGGGTACAGGCCAGAGGCTCAGGGGTGGCGAGAGGATTCACCAGAGACAGAGTGGGGAGCAGAACAGGCAGATCAACAAAGTACACTGCTGAGGGGAGCAGCGGGCGGGTCAGGAGAGGTCTGCCGCGCCATGTGGTCACCTCCAGGGCAGGCGCGAATCGAACTCATGTGGAAGTGGCTTTAGCTTCTCAGTGCTGTGCTTTAATCCGCTGCACCACCAGGGAGGGCCGACCATATTCTTTTTTTATTAAACCAAAGTGCTTTCCTTACTCTGAACCTCACAAATTTTTCTGACTGTTGCATATCTCATTAGCTAAAAATAAAAGTGTTATATCTTAAGTGAAACATGTGATTTTGGATATTTGGATACTTCTGCCACTCTTAAATTTTGAACAAATGTTTATTGATTATTCGCTCTAGGTCATATATTTGTTAGTTGCAAGAAATGCAACTACTCAACTAGTGTTGAGCAGTATGATAGACCCTTCCCCATGGGGGTGTTCTCTCTAGCTCATGCTTCCTAATATTGAGATCTTTGGAGTCATTTAATATCTATGAGTTTCAGTTTCTTCATTGCAAAGTGAGGAAATCAATAAATATTTCATAGTGTTTCTGGGAAATATCGAGATTACGTAAGATAAAGTTCCTTACCTTCAGTAGGTGCCCCATTAGTTTTAATTCACTTCCCATATCTGCAAACTTGTGAAGAGTAATAAAGTCTACTTCCCTATTAGTTTGGGAATGTAATTATGAACACTGCATTCCATTGGTGCTCTTAAGCCTCATAGCATACATTATATCCTACAAACTGCCTCAGCAAAGACAATCCTCTTAGTAGCTAACCAGTGAGGGGAAAATGGGTCACTAAGCTGATTACACTCCAGGCTTTCCACCCAAGTCAGATGCATGTGCTGAACTTTCCAAAAGGTCTAATTCTGTAATCTGGCTGCATTGCTGGAGCTCTCCCCAAAGAAAAAAAATCAAACCAATGAGAGTGCTATGGGCACAAAACTTATAGTAGACATGAAAGTATGCTGCCTGGATCCTCTTCAAGGAAAGAGCTGATGCCCAGGCGCAAGGAGTGCGTGCATGAGGTCATGTCCTTCCCAAAGCAGTTCAAAGGCTATGATTGAGCATGGTGAGGACACAAAGGCCCTGCCAATGTGGCCTGTTGGGACAACTCTGCTGGGTGGTTTACACTCCAGTATCCCCTGCCAGATTGGCCAAGATTTTATGTTTTTCCATTTGACTGGTGGTAAAAATGTGATTCTCTCACATCAACTCATACTAACCAGATGTCACATGCCACTAGTGAATTCCCTTTTCACCTCCAAGTATCAGGATCTACACAGAAAGCTCTCCATTCCCATTTTCCTCTCTACTCATTCCATGCCTCCTCAAATGAAATACAGTGGACCACATGAATAATAGTTGGTTAATGAAATATTAGAGAATATAAAGTTTTCAATTCCTTGGAGTGATTTCCTGCTTTCTCTTTTCTCTTATTTTGTAAGTCATTGACATGCCAGATAATGGAAACTTACCAGTCTAGTAGCTGGGCAAATAAGTAGAGCAGAGCTCTTCTCCAGCCACATTTCTCATGGACTCAAGTAGATTCTGTGGGTGCAGAAGTAGTATTTTATTAAGTCACTGAATTTTGGGGATTTAGTGTAGCATAAGACTAACTTATCTTTTCTACAATATCCTTGCAATGAAATAAAATATACTCAAGTACTTAGTTGATTTTTTTTCTCTACTGGATTATGTGATATCAATAGTTAAACCAAAAAAAACCCAGCTCTAGACCTATGAATACAATGCTCAGCGCATCCCTTGATTGATAACTTAGTTTTGATAGGCTACATTCACTTTCCAGGACTTATTTCTTTTATTTCCTTTTTTTGTGTCTCCTACAATTAAGACAAGCAACTTCAGATTAGTACCATAGGACATACTGTCTACCGAGGTGAAGAGGAATTTAACCATGTTGCAGTCCGTAAAAGACATGTTGGAGGGCCCTTCCTGGTGGCACAGCGGGTTAAAGCACTGCACTAAGAAGCTAAAGCCACTTCCGCATGAGTTCGATTCCCGCCTGCCCTGGAGGTAACCACATGGCGAGGCAGACCTCTCCTGACCCACCTGCTGCTCCCCTCAGCAGTGTACTTCGTGATCTGCCTGTTCTGCTCCCCGCTCTGTCTCTGGTGAATCCTCTCACCCTCCACATCTCTGGCCTGTACCCCAATTCTGTATGAATAAATAAACATTTTTTAAAAATTAAAAAAAAAAGACATGTTGGAGATGTCACAATTCTAACCAATCTCCAAATAAGGCTTCCAAGGGCAGCAGACAATGTGATCAGCATAATGCAAGATGCCTCAGCATTGAGAGACCAGAAATTCTTTTTCTGGGACTCTAAGGTGTTAGGTTTTCAGGGACAATTCATACTAACCAGACTCATATATCAAAAGACTAATGTATAAACTACACATCATTTTATTTTTTACAACAATAATTTGTTTTTTTCCAGTGACTTGAATATTCAGGAGTACAATCCAGGATGACTCTTCTCTGTAAGGGCAAATCAAGGAAGACAGAACACACAAAAGTTGACAGATGTGAACTGGGAGGCTGATGACATCTTGATGGCCATTCCTTTCAGGCCATCAATGTTTGTCCTAATGAATCCTTGGAAAGTTTTTTTCTCTCTCTTTCACCTTCCCCCCCCTTCCTCTCTCTCTCAATATTAAATAAATATTAACAAATTCTTGCTTTCAGGTTCCTGATTTCCTTCAAATAAGGTTTAATAAAACTACTTGGAATTTGTTGTCTTTAGACCAATGATTTCTCAATATTGATTGACTCAGCCAACCACTGAGTCAACGATCAAGCTAACATCTTGACCATCCCAACATTTGGCTGCTTTCATTTACAGTACTTTGTTCTAAATTTGGATGTACTTGTCAATATCAGGTGTGAAACAGTCAGAATTGAGTCTTGGATCTCCCAATATCCAATGATCCAAAGATCCAGCAGAAATGTCTTTATAAATCTACCCCAGGAGGTTGGCAAACTATAGCCTGAGTCATCCTACAACCTGTTCTTGTAAATAAATATTATTAGAACAAATCCACCCCATTAGCTTTTGTGTAGTTTGTGGCTGCCTTTGTACTACATCAGCAGAGTTGAGCAGTAGCACAGCAGAGGCTACATTATTTATTCTCTGGCTTCTTTAGAGAAAAAGTTCCCTGACCCATGATGTAAACAGAGGCTTTATCACCTCCCAACCAAATAATTTCTCTTACCATTAGCTGCAACCCACAAGTTATAGTCAGATGCATCCTCTGGATGATAGGCAGAATATATCCAAGCATAGAAATTCCATCTTCATGCATATTTGTGTCCTCATGATTCTGATCCTGGATGTCAGTGGCTCAAAAATACATTTCTGCAGTGAATCTCCTGTGGATTGTACTACAGACACCAGCACTGAATAAAGACTCGACTAGAAAGTTCTCAAAGAGAATTTATCACTAACATCTATAAGCTGTTCAGTTCTTTGGGCTTCAGTTTTCTTGTCTGGGAAATCAAGTAGCCCAGCCTCAGCAATGGGGTATTAGAAATATTAAGTGAGAGGAAAATGTGAAAATAGGCTATAACTATAGTCTTTGGTAAATGTGAGAGGGAGCACAGTATTATTTGAAATCACTGTGACACACTGGTTGATATCTAGTAAGTGTTCAAAACAACAGGGAGTCTTTTTAGGTGATACTGACAATGCAGTTTGCTTGGCTCACTTGCAGTCCCAAACTCTCTTTCTTAGTTACCCAGGGACCTTGGCATCATGCATCCTGGATGCCCCCCTCACTAGAGCACAGTCCTACAGAGAAGATAGCATGTTGGTTTATTTCTCTGGAAAGGATCACCTTCTCTTGGGTGCCAAGACCTCTCAGAAGCTTCCTAACTCTAAGTAAACTGAACAGGATATCTTTGAAGTGACTTATTAAGTAATCAAGAAGATTCTCAGATGGGGATGAGGTGAGTTCTGTGCCAGACGGCATTGGGTATACTGTCCCACCTTCCAGAGGTCTCTCAGGACCCTCCAACCTGGCACTTTGAAAATAAATGAGAAGTGGAACTGCATATCATTCAACCTCTGAAATTTACTGAAAATAAAAGCAATTATCTTTATGCAGAATGGCACCCAGAGAATAATGTTAGAATCTGTGAGTCTACACAGTGAGGGCAAGGTTATTGTGTGTGTGTGTGCATGTGTGTATACACAAGCATGAGAATAATGTTAGAATCTGTGAGTCTACACAGTGAGGGCAAGGTTATTGTGTGTGTGTGTGTGCGTGTGTGTATACACAAGCATGACTAATGCATAGAAAGACTGTGTAAGGGCCTACAGGTCAGTAAAAATTTAATCAGAACATAGTATGAGAGAGTAGTAAGGACTATTGGCTCAGGAGCCAATTGCCTGACTGAAATTCCAGAGATGCTGTTTCTTAGCTGGGTAACTGTGGACAATATAGACAATCAGCACACTTCTCAACAAAAACATCTCCTATTTCTATCACCTCCATAGCAGAACTGTCCTTTCACCCTGTTAAAGTTGGGTTTGGCTGTGGAGTTTGCTTTGGCAGATAGAAGATGGGTAGAAATGCCAGTGTGCCAGTTCTAAGCCAAGAGCTTAAGAAACTCCACACAGTTTTGTTTCTTCTTCTGGTATCGCCTGATTTCTCCATGAGAAAAGCCTGCTCCAGGTAGTCACTGAGCCTTCCCCAGGCCCCAAATGGGATGCAGGGAGCCAAGCCACCCCAGTCTACCACACAGCTGTAGTTTGTATGAAATCAAGTGCCTGTTTCTGCCTGTCACTGAGATTTTGCTTTTATTTCATTGTTGTCAGCAAAAACTGCTACAAGCAAGTTACTTAAAACCCTTGTTTCCTTTCCAGGAAATTAAAGAGAATATGGGTGCCTGCTGCAAAGGGATGTTATAAGAATTAAATGAGTGAATGCATACAAAGTACTTAGAATACTTCCTGTCAAACAACACGGAGCTGATAAAGTGTTAGCTGTCGTTTGTGAGTGTATGAGTAGGCAGGTACCCAAGGGACTAAGAGTAGGCGAACATGAGCTCAGGTGTCAGAGCTTATGCACCAAGTAGAAGAGGCAGAGTGATGGGAACAGCTGCGTGGGCATGTGTGTGCACAGGAGGGGTACACCCCTTAGCAGAAGTACTCATTCATCCGTCTGCCACTCCTGACCCCCAAAGCCGGAGAGTCCAGGCTGGATGGAGCCAAGAGCAATCTGTCAGCCTCACTGAGGCTGTGCCGGGAGAGCTCCTCAGAGCCATCCTCGCTGTGGCCCAGCCTCTCCAGGGTGATGTAGGCACCTGCAAGCTCGGTGGAGCCCCCCGACCGGCACTTGCGGCAGCGCCTCCGGAGAGCTCCGCAGCAGACCAACAGCGTGGGGGGCAGAGCAATAACGGCAGCCACAGTGATCACCACCATATTGATGAGCCACTGGGTGCCCTCAGCATCCACCACCTCATGGGTGGAGAAGATGACGCACTGCTCTTTCCGGGGCACCAGGCCCTGCACACAGACGCATGCCACGTACTTGGTCTTGGGGGAAAGCCCACGGATGGTGGCACTGGTCTTCCCAGGCTGCACCATCGCCTGCCGCATGTTGCGCTGCCCATAGACTGTGTAGAAGACAATGAAGGCAGTTGTGTTTCCAGCCCAGGGTGCTTTCCACACCAAGGTGACACTCTGGTAGGTGTCCCCCACCACCTTGAGAGACCTCACCAGTTGGACCTCCTGGGGTCTTGCCTGCATGCCCAAGCGCTCTCCTGGGGTTCCCATCTGCAAGTGCTGAAGGGTCAGATCCTCCTTTGTATTGGGCACAAGGGGTCCAGTGGCAGGGACAGTAGGTCTGGGGATGTGGGGGACGTGCCTGGCTACCAGCTTATTATACGCAGCTTCCTCCTCCTTGCCTGTCCTTGCCCACAGTGGCCCTAGGCCCCCACTGTGCTCTGTGGAAGCCCAGGGCTCAGTGACAAGCAGAGACACACGAGTCTCAGAGGTTCCTAGGAAGTTCTTGGCCTGGCAGATGTAGTCTCCGGAGTCCAGGTGGGACACAGTAGGCAGGCCCAGCAACATCCAACTGGTGCCATCACTGGAGACTTCCCGGTGCACTGGAACAAAGAGGCACATTTGGGAGGACAATGGGCCCATCTGCCCCACCCTCCCTCCCAGGGCTAAGTTCACAAACAGGGGCTGTGCACAACACCCCATTATCTGGAGGAAACAATGGGAATCATTCAACTTTTCTTAGGCTAGTCAAGCAGATGGGAGAACACCTGGTCTTAAATTTGGGAAACCCTAGGCCAAGGCAGAGTCTAGGAATGACTGGCCTTTCAAATCTCAGATGCAGAAAGGAGGTCCTGGAATTCTGAAGAACTGACCCCTCAGGGGTGGAGGGCAAGTGTTTTGGTGGTGAAGTGGATTGGGGTATACCTGGAAGTTCTCTGCCCACCCTGGCAGAGCCTGGCCCCATGCCACTGTGCAGTGACAGCACATTCAACTTTCTGTTTTACCTGGTGGAACTCTGATATAATTTGGCTTGTAAACTGATTTCAAACCCACAGTCTTGGGGTAATACTCTTACCATGTCATTGAGGGGGAAAAAAAAGAAAAAAGAAAGCGGGGAAGCTAGGAGGGACATAGGTTCTTGATCAGGTGCTAAGAAATCATTCCTCCTTCATCACCTTTCTGCATGGAGAGGGGTCTGATACCTCCCACCTCTCACAAGATGAATCTTCTCCACCTCACAGCATGAAGAGAACATGTACTGCTGAGGCCACCTCAGCTTTCCCCCCAGTTCCTCCCAGCACTAGCTATGTGATGTAGGCCAAGCATTAAGCCCTTCAGATCCTCAGCTTATTTATATACAAAGTAAGAATAATCAGGTTCTTTAACATTTAGTGATATTATGTCTAAAATA